GCTAGCTTCTCTTATTCATCATTAATGCAGTTGTTGAGTGTCTCTACTATGCCAAATAAATATGAAATGATATATTCTCTGTCCTCAAGAATCTTAGAGGTTAATGAGTATGTGCACAAATACAGTTATATTACAATAAGATCATCTTATCAGGACAAATACAGAGGCTTATAGGAAACAGGAAAGATTTCACGGAGCAGGTAGCATTTGAGCTCAGACCTAAAGAATAGGGAGGAACTTACAAGGCAAAAGGACCACAGCTGCAAAGACATGGAGGTAGCTGTGTTCTGGAAATTGCTAAGGGCAGGGTGATTTCGGGGTGGGCAAGGAGGCATAATGAAAATGACAAGAGGTGAGGATTGGCAAGTAAGCAGAGGTCAAGTTTTGAATGGTTTGTATGCAGTACAGAGGAGTTTTTATCCAGTAAGTGATAGAAAGTTGAGAAAACTTTGACAAAGGAAATGACAACCATAGGAGTTTTAGAAAGATACTCTGACTTCAGTGATGAGAAGGAAGTTGGAGGTGTTGCAGGCTTGGACCAGGCAGATGAGCAGCATTGGGAACGGGATGTGGGACCGGAGTAGATCAGAGGTGCCCTGAATATAGGCTTCAGTGGACTGGTGATGGGTAAAGTGAAAAGAATATGCAGATGGAGAAGACCTGTGTTTCTTAAATGTCCTCCTTTATCATCCCTATCAGAAGTCCTCTTTATTCTTAAAATAAAACAGTTCAAGGGCTACTTTCCAGTAATCCTCATATCACCCACGTTTCTTTCATAGGATTTTAATCCTTTCATAGGATTCCACCTAGAATTTTGATTGTTATTTCCCTATATCATTAGATTGTGAGCTTGAGGGTTTTGTATGTTACTTTTGGTTAGTATCCTTCATGATACCCCAGGTCATTTCAGATAATAAGTTTTCAGTAAGCTCTTGTTTAATTGAACTAAGGTGAAATGTTGACTCTGACTTTGGACTTGTAAGAAGTCTTTAACTTGCTCTCTCAATAGTGGGTTTAGGAGAGAGAATTAATAAGCTCTGAGACCTTCTGCTGGAACCATTAGCTCCACAGTATGTAGTTTAGTAATTTGATTCCAGCACTTTGGATCTTTTATCTTTTTTGACGTGCTTAATAGTTGCTCAGAGTGAGATTCCTGATCCAGTTGTATTTTTTCCTTAGGCTCCCAGCTGTCCTCCTCTCAGCCTATTCTCACGCAAAATAAGAGTCCTTTGACCTTTCCCCCTTGTACCGAAAACCTAGCTGGTGAAAAGGCAGAAATGGTGAGAAGATGACAGATGGGGGTGAGAGAAAAAATTTGGATAATTTATCTTTTCTGTCGTTCCTACTGGGAACTAAAATCTTTCCTTAGATTAAATTTAATCTTTTCTAGAGGTAGAAAATGTTTAAAAACTTAAAAAAAAAATGTGACTGTGTAGACCATCCTGACAGATTCTGCTTGGTCCTGAATAGAAAAGAGTAATGACAGTAGCATAATTCTCTACTTTAATGTTAAATATTTTAGTTAAATATTCTTTAGGGTATGCCAAATGAATAAATTCAAGGTTAATTTAAGATTTGGCATATGAGATATAATGAGCTAATTTGGTGATGTTTCTCTTTGTAAAACCTCCATACGAAATCTGATAATAATTTTGCATGACCCATATGGAGTGAAGCACAAGGTCAGGTTTTGTTATGTGAAAATATCTTTATTTTGTGTGTCCTGATTTGGGACACAATTCATACTGGGATTCAGTCAGAAAAATGCTGTGGATGAAATTTCTTAATATTATTTGTTTTCTGTTAGTGATTAAGAATGGTGGGGCATAGTTTAGTGTTCTGTGAAAGAATACTGAGGGTTTTTTTTTTATTTGATAACTTTGAAGTGAACATTTGATTTATACATTATTATTGAATTCCCCCCACCCCATAAGAAAAGAAACAGATATATGTGTAGATTGTGTTTATGCTGAGGAGAACCCCCACACATCCCTACCAATTGATTTAAGCATGGGATTTCTTTGGACATTTATCTGACTTTGGGGTTCAGGTTCCCTCAGAAGTTGTGTCTCTTCTGTTGGTCAGAAATTCAAATCCATGCAGATAACAGGTCCTGCAATGCCTCTGTGCATTAAATTTGAATTAATAACATAACAAAAATGTGTTTTTACTTTAGAGGTTCTAAATGTTATAATGAATTATTCAAATTTATGTATTTTCATTGGTCTCTTTGGACTTTTGCTGAATTTATTTTAAAATGATTTTATTTGTTTCTTTTTGTGTTTTGGTTAAATCCTGTTAAGTCTACTGGTCTGTAGGCAAATGGAAGTTTAACAATCAAAAGTGGTTTTGATTTTTAATTTAACTGCCACTTGATGGCTTTAATATTCAACTACATATAACTTAATTTTTATTTGCAAGCAAGAATTTCTTGACTACAAATAAACGGAGAATTCTACTAATTGATCTTTCCAGCAAAGGCATTTTCATAGAAAATAAAAGTTTTGGTTAAGATTTTTCTTATAATTTAAGATTTGTATTAAGTTGCTCTTCCTGTTCACTTGGGTGTAAAAAATCAGGAGACTTTGAGTGGTAGGGGGTTGATAAGTTAGCCTTCAGTCCTGAGAGTCTATGCTAAGCAGGCACAGTCAATCCCCAGGTAAGAATGGTCCTGTTCCAAAAATCACTTGTAACTTAGTCACTTAAAATCATACTGTGTGTTCTTGATTCATTTCCATAATTTAAAAAGCAAGTTTATGAAAAATGTGAAAACTTTCACAATCAAGGAAAACTTTTTATTTTAATTCCATAAAATGACCCCTACCTTTGCCAAATTAGAATTTGGGTTATTAGTACATATTGATGTTTGGATTCTGTACCTTTTCTTATAACCAGTAGATGTGTAACAAATATTAAGGAATCCAATACAAGCATGCCATATTATAATAGAGAAAGATTAAAATCAACTCAGAAAACATTTCCCCAAAGAAATTATGTTATAGCAGTACTGGTCTGGTTATACCCTGCAAAAAGTAATAAAAATTAGTGCTTTTCCAACTTTTTTGGGGGGGATGGTTCAAGGTCAGAAATACATATATTATTATGCTATATACATATATATGTATATATATATGTGCTCATACATGCACTGAAGCAAAATAATTGCTTGAATCTAGTGTGAATGCACTCTGATATTTTCTGCTTTGTTCTGTTCCTTTTTTCCCCCCAGTGCTAATCATCATAACCCACAGAATTGATTTTATTGACACTAATGATTTTTAGTTTGTGAAACACTGATCTAAGCCATAATGTAGCTCAACTGTTGTTTTTGAGAACCTACTTGTTATTTGTGATGTCTGTGGAAAGATTTCGCCTTGGGACACACAAGCATGCCTCTCCCCCAGGCAAGCCCCATATTAGCTCTGATCCCTTGACCACAGCAGGGGAACTGGTGGTGCTCCGGTGTGTATACATGTATCAATGCAGTCATGCCCCGGCAGTGGCAGAGGGAGAACTGAGGAGATACTAGGTGTTTTTAGCAATGGCCAGGAGACAAAGTCAAGTTCTTACAGTATTTTCAGAGAGCTGAAACTCCAGTTTGATCTGTTATAACATATTCATAAACCAGGTGTATGCATATTTATACTTGAGATATATCTATGTGCCCGTCCTGTGGCCAGTAATCCTAATAATAATAATAATGATGATGATGATGACTAATAGTTACTGATGCTTACTATGTGCTAGGATGTTTTAAGTGTCATGTATATATTAATTTGTTTACTTCTCACAGCCCCATGAAGTGTTAATAACGCAGGTAGACAGAGGTTAAATTACTGGCTTGATTAAGATCACACAGCTAATTTAGTAGGTGCCCAAACATTGGCTGAGTTTCCTGACTACATGCATGTAAAAGATGCATAGATCATCATCATATGGTCAGTACCTAAATACCTACTGGATTTTTATCATACTTTTGTTTTACTTTGCTTATGATTGTCATCCTTCCCCCCACCTTAAAGAAAATACCTTGGTTCCCTTTCCTCAATATTCTTATGTAAGTGCAGTGCAGTTAACTTTTAGATAATATACTGTGTTTATTAAATATAATCATATTTAGATACATGTAATAAATTGCTGAATGTATTTACTAAGTAGATGAATAATTATGATTATCTTTTTTCCTCAGTGGCCTTTGAATATTTTGGGTTTTATCTAATCTCCATGATATATTTATGATTTATATATTTTTTAAAAGTATATGGATGAAATGCTGTACTTTCACATTAGCTTTAGCCTGAAGAAAAATTTATACTTTTTTTTTTCAGGACAAAGCAAAGCTAAGCTTTTCATTGAAAATTACTCTTCATATTGATAGTATTTTTTCTTATTTTTATTGCCTTTCACTCGGAGGTATCCTTAATTGAAATTTCTATTTTAAGCTACTAGATGTGCACATTCACAACTTGATTACAGGTTAATAATAATTGCCAACATTAATTGATAGCTTATAATGGGTTAACACAGTTATAAGTGTTTTATGTGTATTAATTTATGTATTATTACTACAGTCCTCTGAGGTAAATCTATTATTCCATTATTATTTTTTCAGATGAGAAAGATTTGAGGCTTAGAAAGGTTACTTGTCCAAGGTCACATAGCCTGCAATTTAAAGAATTGGGATTCATATCCAGGTGGCTGGATCCAGGGTCTGTGCCCCTACCTATGATGCTGTTCTGCCTCTATAATGTGGAAATTTATATTCTAAATAATGATGTAAAAGAATTTTAGTATAAGTAGGAATATAAGTAAGATTTAAGCCAAAATGTATCCTTGTATTTCATTTTTTATTGTCACTTTTCTCTTTGGACAGGCTGTGTTAAAATTTCTTTTTTTTATTTTGTATTTTTTTATTGGACTATAGTTGATATATAATATTGTATTAGTTTCAAGTGTACAGCAAAGTTATTCAGTTATATATATATATATATTTTTTTAGATTCTTTTCCATGATAGATTTATTATGTCTGTGAGTCTGTTTCTGTTTGTAAATAAGTTCATTTGTATTTTTTTTAGATTCCATATATAAATGAGAATAATATTTGTCTTTGGCTTACTTCATTTGTTATGATAATCTCTAGGTCCATCCATGTTGCTGCAAATGTCACATTATTTTTATGAGTGGGTAATATTTCATCTAGTATATATATAGTATATGTATATACCACATCTTATTTATCCATTCATCTGTCAGTGGACATTTAGGTTGCTTCCAGGTCTTGGCTATTGTAATTAGTGCTGCTGTGAACACTGGTGTGCATGAAACTTTTTGAATTAGTTTTTGTCTTGTCTGGATATATGCCCAGGAGTGAGATTGCTGGATCATATGGTAACTTTATTTTTACTTTTTTTAAGGAACCTCCATACTGTTTTCCATAGTGGCTGCACCAATTTACATTCCCAGCAGTGCAGAAGGGTTAAAATTTTTTGATTCTTTCTATTGCAAATACCTGTAACATTTGTTTGGAACTCAGATATGCCTTCAGAATATAATACAAATCTCACATTAATATGTCTGTACATTATACCTGTTCATTTTTTCCTTTTCTTACTTCTCTTGATATTGCCCATATATATTGGCCTTAGTAGCTTAGTATTAAGCATGCAGTCAAGTACAGGTGATTTACTTGTGTCTTAATGTCTTATAAGTTGGAGAGGTCTTGTAGGAATGGACTGTAGTGAAGTATAAATTTTTCTGAGTATATTAGATTTGTAGTACCCTTTCCAGATTACCTTCTTTGTGAAGAGAAATGAAAATATATAAGATACATAGCATATTATATTGCCTTTTATAATATTTTTAAAAGGTCTGCCAAATCTGAAAATTCCTTTCAATTCATGGCTTCTAAATATACTGTTAATCAGGAGATTTTATTCCACTGTCAAATTTCAATCACTATGTAGTAAATGTACTGAATTTAATTTTAATTTCTGTCTTTTTATAGGAAAATATGAGAGCCACACACGTGTTCACACAGGTGAGAAGCCCTTTGAGTGTGATATTTGTCACCAGCGCTATTCGACAAAGTCTAACCTAACTGTTCACAGAAAGAAGCACAGTAATGAAACAGAATTTCATAAGAAGGAGCACAAGTGCCCTTATTGTAATAAACTTCATGCAAGCAAGAAGACTTTAGCCAAGCATGTTAAGAGGCAAGTATTATCTTGCTTCCATAATATACTTTAGTGTGCCTTCTAATTTAAATATATAGTGAGCCAAAAACATCTATGGGGTGCTTGTCTCCAATCTTTCATTGCTTAACATTTTCTAGACTACAAATTTATTAAGAACAGCAAATGTTAGTTCATATTTTTTACTATTGCTATTGAGTTGAAGTTTTTTGATACTGAAACAAAAACTATAGTCTATACTATAGAAGTTTAAGATACAGAATTTTTGTTATCCTGGGTTTTCTGTCTTGGGTTTTGGCAAGTATGTTTTCAACCTATATGGTTTTAGAACTGTAGGAAACTTATTGTGCATGCTCAACTTTGTCTTTAGTGTATGAAAATTTGTGGGATAAAGAATATTTAGTATAGTATTGCATATTTAACTTTGAGAAATTAAATTTACTGAAATATGGACCAAAACAAGTCAAGTGAATGGCATTGAAGATTATCTGTGAATAGATAGGTTCCTGAATATATGTAAAGTATGATTATGCTTTACTTTGACTATTTCTGCATAACTTTGAGCACACATATTCATATATTAAAATAATAGTGATGCCTGTATTCTTAAAGTACTCAAATGTACCTGTCTCTTTAAGAAAGGAATCAGTGCCTGATTCTTGTAATCACTGTCAACATATTAGATAGAATATTGACTGAACTAATATAATCTTTTCCTGACAGACTTTTAATTTTTTTCTTATAGATTTCATCCTGAAAATGCACAAGAATTTATTTCCATTAAGAAGACTAAGAGTGAAAGTTGGAAATGTGATGTAAGAGATTTTAATTTGTAGTAGAAAACCAAATTAAATGTAGTGTGACCTTTTGGGAAAGTAATTAAATTTTAAAGTAATATAAACTTAGCTTATATCACTTTTAGACTCTCTCTTTTATACAGTGTTATCCTAATATTTTTGTAAATTAAGCCTGGTATGAGTTAGTTTTTGAATAATGGACCTGAAAAATAGAAATCCTAGTTTTTATTTTTATTGTAATCACTATACCATGTTTTTATAGTTGTCTGAATCTGTGATGTTACTGTTGCACAGAATATAAAATGTTAGAATTTTCCCTCCATTTCTGGTTGTCTGTTGCTATATATCAAACCACCTCAAAACTTAGTGGCCTTGAATTACCATTTCATTGTATCTCATCATTTTTGGGGTCAGTAATATAAATGGGGGCAGGATTTTGCTAGGCAATTCTTCTGTTCTACATGTTCTACATGGTGTCAGCTGAAGTCACTCAGTTGTTTTCAGCTGATGGATGGTCTGTATGATCTGGTCTGGTTTGGGGCTGTTTCCAAAGTGCCTCACTCACATGGCTGGAAACCTGGTGTTGGTCAACAGCTAGAAGCTCAGCAAGGACAGCTGGCTTTTCCTGGGGCTACTTGAACTGCCTTCTGGCATGGCAGCTGGGCTCCAGGAGTGAGTGTGTGTTCCAGGAAGCCGAGGTAAACGCTCTCAGGCTTCTTATGGCCTCACCTCGGAAGTCTCAGAGCACCACTTCTAACATGTTCTGTTGGTCACACAAGCCACTACAGCCAGGGAAGATTTAAGGGGAGTGGAATTAATCTCCATTTTACAATGATAGGAGTAGCAAAGAATTTGTATGTATTTTTATTCTACCGCAACTCCTAAAGTACTTTTTCATTATTTAGGTAAATATTGTTTAAAGGAGTAATCAGATATCATTTTGTTTACTCCTAGGCTTCAACTTATATATTGGGTTGGCCAAAAAGTTCCTTCAGTTTTTAAATAAAAATAAAAGACGCATTTTTCATTTTCACCAAGAACTTTATTGAACAACGTATCCATTGTTTTGTTCCACTACCTTCTGCCATTTTTCAGGCAACTTCATAATTCCATCTTCCCAAAACTTTTTATCTTTTTAATCAAAGAACTGTACCAGGTGCCTTTTACAGTCTTCCAGGGAATTGAAATTTTTCAATTAGAAGAGTTTTGTAAAGACCAAAATAAATGGAAATCCGAAGGTGCAATGTCTGGTGAATATGGCAGATGAATCAGAACTTCGCAGCCAAGCTCTAACAGTTTTTTCCTGGTCACCAAAGAAACATGCGGTCTTGTGGTATCCTGATGGAAGATTATGTGTTTTCTGTTGACTAATTCTGGACACTTTTCATCAAGTGCTGCTTTTAGTTGGTCTAATTGGGAGCGCTACTTGGAATTGTTTGGTTTTCCAGAAAGAGCTCATAATAGAGGACTCCCTTCTAAACCCACCATATACACAACATCACCTTCTTTGTATGAGGACTGGCCTTTGGTGTGGTTGGTGGTGGTTCATTTCACTTGCCCCATGATCTCTTCTGTTCCGCATTATTGTACAGTATCCACTTTTCATCGCCCATCACAATTTGTTTTAAAAACAGAACGTTTTCGTTATGTTTAAATAGAGAATCGCATGCGGAAATAGGGTCAAAGGTTTTTTTTCTTAACTTATGTGGAACCCAAACATCAAAGCAATTAGCATAACCAAGCTGGTGCAAATGATTTTCAACCTTTGATTTGTATATTTTGAGTATGTCGGCTATCTCCCACGTGGTATAACATTGATTGTTCTAGTGAATGTCTCGATTTGATCGCTATCAACTTCAACTGGCCTACCCCAACGTGGAGCATCGTCCAGCGAGAAATCTCCAGCACGAAACTTCACAAACTACTTTTGACACATTTGATCAGTCACAACACCTTCTCCATACACTGCACAAATCTTTGCGTTTCACCTGTGTTTTTACCTTTCTTGAAATAATAAAGCATAATTATATGCCGAAAATGTTGCTTTTTTTCTTCCATCTTCAATATTAAAATGGCCACACAAAAATTCACCAATTTTGATACTTTTTTTAAAAAATGCACACTGATATGACAGTTGTCACAATACAATCTTAACAAAATTTTTTTTGTTTTGTTTTGTTTGTTTGTTTTTTGCGGTTAACAAAATTATTTTGGGTGAAGTTAAAGACAACTAAGTGCTACTAGAGCCATCTTACGCAAAAAACCAAACGAACCTTTTGGCCAACCCAATATATGACAAGATTCTCACCATTTCTGTGATTTCAGCTTCTAGGAATTGAAGTTAATTATTAATTATTTGGATCTTTATAAGATGGTTTCTTCTCCTTACTAAGTTTCATCATCCTCAGCTGCAAAATGATAACAATTATATATACCTCTTAGGTTTATTGTGAGAATTAAGTAAAATAATCCATGAATTACATAGCATTGTGCCTGGTATATAGTACATGCTGTGCTGTTGTTGTACCTGGAGTATAATACATGCTATGTTGTTACACCTGGTGTATAGTACACGCTGTGTTATACCTGGCGTATAGTAGATGCTGTGTTGTTATACCTGGTGTATAGTACATGCTGTATTGCGGTGGTTGTTATGCTTGGTGTATAGGACATGCTGTATTATTATTAGCAGTTCCTCTTCCCCTTTTCTAAATCTGATGTCTGCCAAATTTCTTTAAAATATTGTGTCTATTCTTTCTGACCACCTCAAGAGATAAACTTTTTAAAGTAATTTTTCTGAAGTTTCTTACTCCTATTCCTAATCAAATATATGGCAAGCATGATAAAACCTTTATTCATAACATATCATTGATTTAAAATATAAATTTTTTTAACATCTTTATTGGAGTATAATTGCTTTACAATGGTGTGTTAGTTTCTGCTTTATAACAAAGTGAATCAGTTATACATATACATATGTTCCCATATCTCTTCCCTCTTGTGTATCCCTCCCTCCCACCCTCCCTATCCCACCCCTCCAGGCGGTCACAAAGCACCGAGCTGATCTCCCTGTGCTATGCGGCTGCTTCCCACTAGCTATCTACCTTACGTTTGGTAGTGTATATATGTCCATGCCTCTCTCTCACTTCGTCACACCTTACCCTTCCCCCTCCCCATATCCTGAAGTCCATTCTCTACTAGGGCTAGTAGGACACAGTCTTTATTCCTGTCTTACCCCTAGGTTCTTCATGACAGTTTTTTTTTCTTAAATTCCATATATATGTGTTAGCATACGGTATTTGTCTCTCTCTTTCTGACTTACTTCACTCTGTATGACAGACTCTAGGTCTATCCACCTCATTACAAATAGCTCAATTTCGTTTCTCTTTATGGCTGAGTAATATTCCATTGTATATATGTGCCACATCTTCTTTATCCATTCATCTGATGATGGACACTTAGGTTGTTTCCATCTCTGGGCTATTGTAAATAGAGCTGCAATTAACATTTTGGTACATGACTCTTTTTGAATTATGGTTTTCTCAGGGTATATGCCCAGTAGTGGGATTGCTGGGTCATATGGTAGTTCTATTTGTAGTTTTTTAAGGAACCTCCATACTGTTCTCCACAGTGGCTGTATCAATTTACATTGCCACCAACAGTGCAAGAGGGTTCCCTTTTCTCCACACCCTCTCCAGCATTTATTGTTTCTACATTTTTTGATGATGGCCATTCTGACTGGTGTGAGATGATATCTCATTGTACGTTTGATTTGCATTTCTCTAATGATTAGTGATGTTGAGCATTCTTTCATGTGTTTGTTGACAATCTGTATATCTTCTTTGGAGAAATGTCTATTTAGGTGTTCTGCCCATTTTTGGATTGGGTTGTTTGTTTTTTTGTTATTAAGCTGTGTGAGCTGCTTGTAAATTTTGGAAATTAATCCTTTGTCAGTTGCTTCCTTTGCAAATATTTTTCTCCCATTCTGAGGATTGTCTTTTTGTCTTGTTTATGGTTTCCTTTGCTGTGCAAAAGCTTTGAAGTTTCATTAGGTCCCATTTGTTTATTTTTGTTTTTATTTCCATTTCTCTAGGAGGTGGGTCAAAAAGGATCTTGCTGTGATTTATGTCATAGAGTGTCCTGCCTATGTTTTCCTCTAAGAGTTTCATAGTTTCTGGCCTTACATTTAGGTCTTTAATCCATTTTGAGCTTATTTTTGTGTATGGTGTTAGGGAGTGATCTAATCTCATACTTTTATGTGTACCTGCCCAGTTTTCCCAGCACCACTTATTGAAGAGGCTGTCCTTTCTCCATGGTACATTCCTGCCTCCTTTATCAAAGATAGGGTGACCATATGTGCGTGGGTTTATCTCTGGGCTTTCTATCCTGTTCCATTGATCTATCTTTCTGTTTTTGTGCCAGTACCATAGTGTCTTGATTACTGTAGCTTTGCAGTATAGTCTGAAGTCAGGGAGTCTGATTCCTCCAGCTCTGTTTTTCATTCTCAAGATTGCTTTGGCTATTCGAGGTCTTTTGTGTTTCCATACAAATTGTGAAATTTTTTGTTCTTGTTCTGTGAAAAATGCCAGTGGTAGTTTGATATGGATTGCATTGAATCTGTAGATTGCTTTGGGTAGTAGAGTCATTTTCACAATGTTGATTCTTCCAATCCAAGAACGTGGTATATCTCTCCATCTATTTGTATCATCTTTAATTTCTTTCATCAGTGTCTTATAATTTTTTGCATACAGGTCTTTTGTCTCCTTAGGTAGGCTTATTCCTAGATATTTTAGTCTTTTTGTTGCAGTGGTAAATGGGAGTGTTTTCTTGATTTCACTTTCAGATTTTTCATCATTAGTGTATAGGGATGCCAGAGATTTCTGTGCATTAATTTTGTATCCTGCTACCTTACCAAATTCCTCGATTAGCTCTAGTAGTTTTTTGGTAGCATCTTTAAGATTCTCTATGTAGAGTATCATGTCATCTGCAGACAGTGACAGCTTTACTTCTTCTTTTCC